ACAGTGATTAATTCTGTGTGTTTCTCTACAAAGTGAACTAACAGAAACAATTAAACACAGAAGAGAAAGAGAAGAAACAAGAATAAGACAGAAGAGAAAATAACTAGAAGAGGAACTTGCACAAGAGGGATACAAACAACTGAAAAGTATAGAAACGTCACGAAAGAAAGAAGATTTCTAAAGAAATCTTTAGAAAGATGTAAGAGCAAAAAAACTAACTTGGAATACAGCAAATGGAAGAGTAAATATTTTCTTGAACACATAATTGACCTGTACAACTCAGAGCACCAAGATAAATGTAAAAACATTTAAGCATTTTAAATTATTTTGAAAAATAAACTTTTGTAGACTATGACATTCAAAATTACATCAGAACAATAAAGACATTGTGTATATTTATGTAAACTTGTAACAGTAGAAGTCCTCCCAGTCATAAGAGAATAAATGACTTAAGGAGAAGAATCCCCATAAGTGAACAGAACTGAAAGCCAACTGTCTATGTCGTGTGGGGTTTTGCTCTTTGTATGATGAGTCAAATATGGTCTGTCTCAAGACACTGAGCTAGATGGATCATTGATCTTCTTTAATTTGGCAAATCCTGCTGGTCTTGCATGTGTTTTTCTGTGAGCTTTTTTTTTTTTAAAGGAATGGTGCCTCTAAGCTATGAATAGACAATAGAAGGGATTATATGTGAATAATATCTTTTTATCTCTGGTGTCACTTTGTTTCTGAGTTTGGGCAGGTTATCTGAGGGTTTGGTTTTTCAAAGGTCAGTGCTTTTAAACCGGTGATTGTTATCTGATATTTGCATTATACATATGAAAATAGAGCATTCAGTAAATCTTGTCTGTCTTCATAATCAGTAATACTGTTATCAGATATGTTACATGGGCAATTTAATCCTAGTCACCCATAGCAAGTCTCCTTGATAGAATAAAGAAACGTCTTCCTAAGCAGTCCCCTTTTTGTGAGCATCCTTTTCTCATAACAAAAAGAATATCTTAGGATTGCAATTGTAATGCTTCTGAAAAAAGGCAAATTGGCATACATTTTATTATCTATTGTTTGTGCAGAGCTAGCATGTGCTAGGCACTTTACAGAGGGATTATAGAAGGGGATTTCCCTGAAGAGTTTACAGTACAAAGGAGCTACGAACAGGTGCAGGAGCAGAGATGGGAGGCAATAGAGCGCAAGCATCTGAAAGCAGACATGGACTATCTCCTGCCTCGGGTCTGTAATTTCCTCTCTTTTAATGTATGGCTGTGTTGGGTTTTTTTAATGACTTTTTTACAGTGATGACTAAGATTATAGACATTTTTAGGAAAAGTCACATGAAAGCAATTTCATACTGGGAAAAAATATGGATCTTTTTCCTCCCCACTTGCCATAGCCTCATAAACTGTGACTGGTTTAGTTCAAGTTTTTCAATATAATCATTCCCAAGCAATGACTGTCCTGAGTAGCAAGCAAACGTTGATCACTCCTCTGTTGCTTTTGGAAGATGTCATCCTGTTACTGCTGCTGGTTGAGTGGAGTGCATATTCTCTCCTCAGTCTGAAACTCTCAATGCTCTTTAGTATTATAGTTCCTGTAATTGTTAGCAGCTGAGGAGCAGATAAACAATCCTTTCGGCTATCCCTTAAGTGATGTGACAACCTCACCAGAACAGCAGACCAGACCTTAGAAGGTAGTATCTGCTTCAGGCACCTCAACTAATTCTGTGAATTGAGAAAATTTCTGTGAGGGTTCAGGCAGCCTAGTGTGAGCACCCAGTGTAATATAACCTTGTTGCAAACTTTCTTGTAATAAAGTCTTTCTCATTCTACACTTTCCTCTGAGTCTGGGTGCATAGTGTGTAGCACTGGGAAGGATAATGTCTGACCTTCAGAAGGAATTATGAGGTAAGTATTGGAAAGGTAACAGAACCCCTCCTTACCAAGAAATGAACTGATTGCTGCATGGGTCAGTGCAGTGGCTGGAATTAAATCACCATCAGCCTGCTCTGTGCATAATGAACTGACAAAGGTGTCAGATTTTTTTTTTGTACAGATGATAAAGATGTTTGGGTTCAAATTAATGGAATCTTGGATTAATTGTACAATGCAAACATATTAAATTTAGGAACCTGGAGCTTGCAAGGGACTTTCTAGGTCTGCAAGCTCAATTTCTGCTTGTTGTGTATAGCTGTGATATTGCACCATCCATAAAGTTACCAAGCTTCATCTGTTCCATCTTAAATATAGCTGGGTTCTTTCCCCAGTACTGGAAGTGGATGGCTGGTCCAAAAGGTTTTTAAGCTTTAGAGAAGAGTTTTTCTGATTTCTAGACTAAATTTATTCATGCTATATCAAAGCTATTTGTTTGCGTGACAATACTCTTCATCTAAAGCATTTATTTTCCCTTGGTAGTACTTGTATGCTGATGCATTAACAGGGAGATGCTGTATCACTTTTCCATTCAGCTGTGCCAAGGAAGCTGACCACTTTTACATTCTTTTAATAAAATAGACTCTAATTCCCTGATGGGTTCAGTAACCTTTCTCTGCTCTTCCAGTGTGAATTCATTCTTCAAGTGTGGATATACAGAATGAGGTAGATGAGTCCAGATGAGATCTGATTTGCATCTTACCCAAGTAGCACACCTCTAGTTCTGCTTTACTTGATGTGATGGAGTATTGCAGTTGCCTTTTTTGTGTTTGTGTCACATGGGTCAGTTTTAGATACCCTATGATCTACTCAAAACACATATATCTACCTTTTCATCCAAACTTGGGAGTTGATTGTGACAAAATGCTTTCTGGAAAACTAAGCAACTGGGGCTGGTCCACAGACGGATGTGAGATGGGGAAAGATAGGAAACAGAGCAGGAGAAAATGGTTAGTTCTTGAAGTAGGGGAATGTCACAAGGGTTGTTTCTTGGAGGCCTGTGTTGGGGCTTGTGCCGTTCAACATACTCATAAATGACCTGGAAGAGGGAGGTAACAAAGTTCACTGAAGACACAAGATTATTTAAGGCAGTAAGGATGGTGGAAGAGCCACAAGGCAACTGTGCAATAAAATGGCACTTGACAATGAGTACAGATAAAATGTTAAGTCACGCACACAAGCAAAACCAGTCGTAGTTTCACATGCGAAGTGATGGGTTATGCACTGGTGGATTCCTGGATACCTTTGAGAGGCAAGATCCTGGGGTTCTGATAGACAGGGCCAAGAAAGTGTCAGCTCAGTGGAAGTCAGAAATGCCAGTCAGATGTTCAGCGTTATTAGGAGTAGAGTAGAACACAAGGTGAGGAACCTTCTCTGCAACTTCATAAATCCGATTCAGCTGCATCTGGTATGCTCTGTGCAGTTATCTTAAAGCAGATTAAAGCAAACAGAGGGTGACCAAGAAAGCAAGCCATTAATTAATACAGTTTTCAGGGGTTCAAAAGACTGAGCTTGGATAAATTATTCGTAATGTCATTAAAATTCAAATGCAACTGAAGTTTCCTGTCAGGTTAGCTAGCACAGAGAAAATACACCTCATGTTTTTTCTCCAGGATTTTGTATGTTGTAACGATAAGACATTTTGCCCATCTTTCATTGTCTGGAAGTGTCTCTAAGCATCTTAAATAAAAGGAACGTTTTCTTTTCTTACTCCGCTGGAAAACTTGAAAGAGCAATGCTTCTACATACTAAACTTGTTAATGTAGAGGGGAAATCTCTCGTGTTTATAGAAAACGCTGAAGGGGCTTGCAGAGCAGCCAGTTTCACAGGGGAGCAGGCAGGGGGTTCCCAGGAGCCCTCGGGGAATGTCTGCCCGGCCCGTCCTGCCCCTAGAGCGGGGAGCGAGCCCAGATCAGAAGCAGCTTAACTCTGTACGCACTGGGCTCTGCCTGGGCTCCTCAAGCTCCCTGCTCGCGGTAGCTCTGGAAGACACCTCGCTGTGCAGCGCTAACGTAACCCGAATTTGCAGCAGAGCTGGGGCTGCAGCATCACCAGGGCCTGTCTGCGCTCGCTTGGTTTGCTATCGGTGTAAAGACTGCCCAAACTGGATTTCAAGAGACTTCCTCTTTGTTGCTGCAGTGAAAACAAAATACTCTTTTTTTTTTTTTGGTTGGCAAGCAGAAGAAAGCATTCCTGGTTTATGCTGGATTTACTGTTCTTTTCTGTGCCTGTGATTTACATTTAGAACCAGGCTGTCTGGCAGAGTGTGCTTTGGCTGCGTAGCTGCTTGCGCTCGGTACGAGTGTAATTGCGCACCTTTGTGGAATTGAGATTGTTGGCCGCGATCAGCCTGTACACCAGTGGATACGTTCCTGCACTCCGAACAGATCACTATTGATACTTATAGTGTGTAAATGACTAGGCAAAAATCCAGCCACAGTGGTTAGATCCCAGGAGTTTTGCTGTGAAAATGTTTGTTCTGCTTTTAGATATCTTTGATGGATTATCATCTAAGCACCTCATGGAAGCATGGAAGTATATAGTGTGGAATGCTGATTATAATACTTCTATGTAATTTATATTATTTTCACAAAAGATCTTAGAATGTTTTACTACAGAGTAGATGTAGGAACATTTTTCCGAAGTATGGATTATTCCACTTGACAAGGTGGGTAAAAAAAGTTACATCACTCTGTAAAACTAAGCAAAAAGGTCAGCAGG